CTTAACCGACTGAGCCACCCAGGTGCCCCTATATATTGTGTAGAACTTAATTCTTAAAATGAAGCATGAATAATACCATAGCTTAAATGAGTGGCATTTAGAACATAAACACTTGTTCTCTAGTTCAGTTATAAATCTAGCTCAAATTTTAAGAAAGGAGCAAATCATCAATATTGACCTTTTTTAAAAAACTTGAAATATAATTTACATACCCTACAAAGTTCACCCATTTAAAGTGTACAATTCAGTAGTAAATTTTGCATCTTTGTCTTTTACAATTACTCATAGGATATAATTCATACTCTAGCATCTTTTAAAAATATCTAATAAAAAGGCAAACTCATAGTAACAGAGAACAGAGGCTAGGGATGGGGTCGAAGGTGAGATATTCATTAAAAAATACACACTTTTAGTCATGAAATGAAGAAGTTCTAGAGACTTAACGTGCAGCATAGTGACTATAGTTCATAATAATGTACCGTATACTTAAAATTTGCTGAGAAATAGATCTCAAGTGTTTTCACCACACACACACACACACACACACACAAAGGTAATTATGAGAGGTGATAGATACGTTAATTACTTTGGACTGTGGTAATCATTTTGCAATGTATGCATATATCAAAACATCACGTTGTACACCTTAAATATATAATTTTATTCCCCACTGGTAGAATTCTCTACAGAGAACACTGGCAAATGGCCCACACATAGAGGAGATCAGAATGGTTTCCCCAACAACTAGGCATTAACTTGTGTGTCCGGAAGACCTATGATTCTGCTTTATCACAAAGTTGTAGGTTTTAAGACAGTAGAACCTACCAGTATTTTGAGTAACAATTTGCCTCCAGATCCATATCAATTAATTATTAATCCAAGTACAAAATAAACCAGCTTAAGTCATTTTTCACCTAAGCAATTATATATAAAGAAGTTCAAAAGTAATGACTTCAATTTCAATAGATAATTTTATTTGTAAAAAAATTATAAACAAATGATTACTGATAATTTTAGTAATAAATTTGTGAGTTTATTACCAACTGTAGCTATATCTGTTGTTCAACTCAAAGAATCACTGTAAGGAAGGAGAGTAAGTTTTAAGACCATCTTGGCAAGGTCAAGTGCCATTTAAAATGAAGAAAGAAAAATAATCTTAGAGCCTCAATAGATACATTTCACATCATGGTTAAGTATAAATCACTGCAAACACCTTTATTATCATTAAGATTTCAACTTAAGGGGCGCCTGAGTGGCTCAGTTGGTTGAGCGATTGACTTCAGCTCAGGTCACGATCTCATGGTTCATGGGTTCAAGCCCCATGTCAGACTCTGTGCTGACAGCTTGGAGCCTGGAGCCTGCTTCCAATTCTGTGTCTTCCTCTCTCTCTGTTCCTCCCCTGCTTGCGCTCTCTCTCTCTCTCTCTCTCTCTCTCTCTCTCTCTCTCTCAAAAATAAGATTAAAAAAATATTTTAACTTAATAACTCTAGCTAAATTAGTTGCATTTTCCAGGGATTTCTCAATTGTAAAGAACAAAAGAAATAGTCCATATTTAAATATACGAAAGCAAAAATCACAGGGCGAAGCACTTAGTGGATCATTCAGAATAGCAAAGTCCAAAGTGTTAATACCCAAATGTTCATTTATTCTGTTCACATTAAGAAGGGAAAAGAGAAAGGATAGGAAGGTGAGATATAATTGATAGAACACAACATGTACTCACTGGTCGAGTTGCCTTGCATCTGAATGATGCACTTGGACTCTTTGCTGGTCTCTCGAGAATTGAAGGGCCGAACCCGCACAGCCACCTTCACTGAGGCTCCCGACATTCTGATGGTCTTGTTATATATATGCAGTCCAGAAATAAAATATCAAATCTTCTTTTGAAGTTATGTGCAAGTTTCCTTCAAAAAGAAAACAATTCCACACAGGTAGTCAGAATCAAAGGAAGCATGGGCTAACGTGAGCCTAAGGGCTACTCTTGTACCTCTTTGTACTATTTTTTTTTTTAATTTGTGTTTATTTACATTTGGGGGGGGGGAGCAGCAGAGAGAGAGGCAGTCACAGAACCCAAAGCAGGCTCCGGGCTCTGAGCTGTTAGCACAGAGCCTGATGTGGGGCTCAAACTCATGGACCGTGAGATCATGGCCTGAGCCAAAGTCGGAAGCTCAACTGACTGGGTCACCCAGGCGCCCCAATCTTTGTACTATTTCTATTTCCCTTTCTAAAAACCTCATCCCTTTTCATCCTGTAGATCTTATATGCTCAAAATTTTCCAAAATAGAAAATTAAACACCTAAGTTTATTTTCCTATTCAACTATCTCTTTCTCATACCTAAAAAGTCCCTAAACTTAATAATAAAAAATATATAACTACAAAATAACAGGCCTCTTTCTTACTCTGTTTTTCTGGATCTTCAGTAATGTATGAAAAACACAAATGTTTATCTGTTAAAGAGAGTTCCTTACACAAGTAACTTCCCATCTGCAAAACCACTTATTATCTTCCTTTAAAGAAACGCTCTGAACTTCCTATACACTAATTACACTGTGAAACATTCAGTTACATGATATATAATTAAACAGCAAAGGATAACGATAAGCTCTGGCCAGCTCTTTCAACTTCTAAGTATCTCGGGATTCCTTTAATTTTCACGTGTATCTCATTTGACCCTTACAACCATCCTGTACAATAAGCAGAGAAGTTTCCAAGAGACCCAGGTTCTACCCTCTAATATGCTAGTGACTCATGGTAAAATCAAATCACTACATTTCACTACTGAATGAAGCCATAGGAAAAAATGTGGACATTTTTCAGAGGCATAGTTTCCCTCCCAACAGAACAAAACAAACATTATTCTGTGAAAAAAACCCACGTAAGTAATTTCCACAAGAGACAACAGATCTCAATCTGTACTCTATCCATTATATAAATGTCCTTGAGAAGAACCAAACAAAAGAAAAAACTAAAATAAAGAAAAACACATTTAAGTCCAATTATCGGGGAACCCCAATAAACCTTCAATCTAATTTTTCCCACATAATTAAGTAGAGATTAGGAATCCTAAACTACAGCTTTACAACTGCTAAGGCTTTCCAATAAGGCAAAAATCAATTAATCAAAACAAAACAAAATAAAACCAAAAAGCCACTCTCTACCCTAGCATTACCCTATCTTCTTTTCTTAGCAGCACTATGTGAAATTCCTGTGCTTTGGAACATGCTTATTGTCCGTCTCTCTCAACTCTGTCCAAATGCTCAGAGATCTAATTTGCTACCACTTAGACCACTGCCTGATAAAAGAGCTCGGTAAATGTTTGTCGAAGGAGTGAATTAATGAATTGCAGTTGACCCTTGAACAAATGGGTTTGAAATGTGCAGGCCCACTTGCACATGAATTTTTTTCCATAAATACAGTAGAGCATTGTAAATATATTTTCTCATGGGGCACCTGGGTGGCTTAGTCAGTTAAGTGTCTGACTCTTGATTTTGGCTCAGGTCATGATCTCACAGTTTGTGAGCTTTTTTTTTTTTTTTTTTTTAAGTTTTTTAAAGTTTATTTATTTATTTTTGAGAGGGAGACAGAGTGAGCAGAGGGGAAGAGGGAGAGAGAGAACCCCAAGCAGGCTCCATGCTCACAGTGCAAAGCCCAATGTGGGTCTCAAACTCATCTATGGTTTTTGAGTTTGAGTCCCGCATCAGGCTCAGCACTGACAGCAAAGAGCCTGCTTGGGATCCTCTCTCTCCCCCTCTCTGCCCTCCCCTGCTTGTGCTCCCTTGGTCTCTCTCTCTGTCTCGCTCTCAAAATAAATAAATAAACATTAAAAAAATGTTTAATGTATTTTTTCTCATAATTTTCTTAACATTTTTTCTCTTTATTGTAAGAATATAGTATATAACACATGTAACATACAATATACGTGTTAATCGACTTTATGTTATCAGTAAGGCTTCTGGTTGACAGTGGGCTGTTAGCAGTTAAATTTGGGGGAGTCAAAAGTTCTGTGTGGATTTTCCACTACGTGTGGGGGGAGGGCACTGCTAACCCCCACATTGTTCAAGGGTTAACTGAGAATTATCTGTTCAAGTCCTCTGCCTGGTTTTGTTTCACATAATTATAATATTTATTGATATTAATCTTTTTCATATTTGCTGGAATGTTTTTCCAGTCTGTTTCCTATTTTATTTAACATTCAACAGATGGTTCTTGTTTAATATATCAAACATTTATTGTAATCACATCAAATAAAAACTTAAAGTTATTTGCCCTCCCAGTCAATATAGCATCACCTATAGTCACTAGCTGAGGACTTTGCCAAAAGAGAGTTAATGAAGCATTCAGAAAAAGAAAGACATGGAACACACTTTAACCCCCACACAAGAGTTCACAGTGATATACAGCCATCGTCTGAACACTCAACATGCTCCATTATCTTCTCCCCCAAACTCGCAATCTCTGCCCATCTTCCCGTTTCTATCTGACCCCATATCATAAATCTTGGAGTCATCTTTGTTTCTTTCTCTTTGAATCCTTTTATTAGTATTAAAATTATTAATGATATGCTATATAAAAATTTTTAAGTTTATTTATTTATTTTGAGGGGGAAGAAGGGCAGAGAGAGAAGGAGGGAGAGAGACTCCCAAGCAGGCTCTGTGCTGGCAGTGTGAAGCCCAACGGGGGGCTCGAACTCACCAACCATGAGATTGTGACCTGAGCCGAGACCAAGAGTCAGATACCTAACTGACTGCGCCACCCAGGCGCCCCTATGAACTTTTAAAACATAAATTTGCAGGGTACCTGTGTGGCTCAGCTGGCTAAGCGTCCAACTTTGGTTCAGGTCATTATCTCGCAGTTCGTGAGTTCAAGCCCCGCGTCGGGCTCTGTGCTGACAGCTCAGAGGCTGGAGCCTGCTTCTGATTCTGTGTCTCCCCCTCTCTCTGCCCCTCCTCTGCTTGTGCTCTGTCTCTCTCTCTCTCTCTCTCTCTCTCTCTCAAAAATAAACATTAAAAAAAAAAAACACATAAATTTTCTATCACTTCCTTCCTCTCGTTCTCATTGCCATCACCCCTAACCCACTGCCACTGCCTAACCCTAGTCCTCACTACCTCATGCCTTCCATACCGGTAATAGTGGAACTAATCTTAGACCTTTTCATTTTAATCCAATAGTCCTTCCACAGCGTTGCACAAAACTGAGTCACACAGGGGTCTTTTGAAAAACAAATGAGCCTGGTATTCAACAGTCTTGAAAAAGGCCCCAGGTTGGGGCGCCTGGGTGG